TCTCTAATACGCCCCTCAGGACGGAGCACGTGTCAACAACGCCGATCTTGGACCGAAGAAGCAGAAATCGAGCCGCGGAAAGAGGTTTGGTGAGAACGTCGGCAAGCTCGTGGGCAGTAGGAATGTAGCGAACAATAAGGCGCCCGACTTGGACCAATTGACGGACGAAATGAATAGTTCAAAGCCAAATATTTCATTTGAGAATGAAAAATTGGATTGGAACAAAAATAAGTGGCGCCAAGATTTTCTAAGTGGAGAGTTGGGGCAGCTTGGAGAGGATGGTGCAGCTTGGCAAGGAGGTTTTGGAGCCACTCAATTTCTGCACTAGCGTGAGCAATTTCCTTATACTCCGCCTTAGTACTGGAACGGGCAACAGTTTGTTGCTTTTGAGACCTCCAGGAGACGAGGGTGGGGCCAAGATACAATAGATAGGCAGAAGTAGAAGACTAGTCGTCGAGGTTCCCAGCCATTCGAAATTGCCGAAGGAAGAGAGTGAGCGGCTGGGATGCACGGTAGATGGCGAGACCATGATTGAGTGTACCAGCAACATAGCGGAGCAATCGCTTGACGCAGTGCAAGTGAGAAGCCTTAGGAGAATGAGTGAATTGCGAGAGCTTGTTAACTGATAAGACTATATCAGGCTGTGTGGAGAGGAAAAGAGCAACCATGGACGCCATAGGAGTTGGAGCAGAGGCATCATCTAGCATATTAAATCGTTGAAGCACATCCTTCATATACTTATGTTAGGAGAGCATGTAGCTAGAGACAGTGTGAATAAATTCAATCCCTAGAAAGTAATGAACATCACCCGAGGACTTCAAGGAGAACCGATTGGACAAAGCCACCCGAAAGACATATAGTAGCTGATCATTGTTCCCAGTGAGCTGCAAGTCATCTACATAGACAAGAAAATAGAGCAGCATACCATTTCGATTGTAGACAAACAGTGTAGAATCTGAAAGAGTCTTCCTGAACACAAACTCAAGGAGAAAGTTTCTAAGATCCGTGTACCATGCCCGAGGAGCTTGGCAGAGGCCATAGATGGCACAGTTGAGGCGACACACATGATCCTTGAAACCTGGAGCCTGCTCCATGTAAACTTCATCATTCAAAGGACCCTGAAGGAAGGCATTGTAGACGTCAAATTGAGCAATGGACCAGTTGCTAGGGTGAAGATAATGCGGACAGTGACCCTTGACGAATGGACTGAAGGTGTCGTGGAATGGACCCCGGGCCGTTGAAGAAATCCTTAAACCGAGCAATGGAGTCATCTGGTTCTTGCTTGACGCGGAAGACCCAACGATTGCGCAGGACGTTGTAATGAGGAAGGCGAGGAACAAGATCTTAGGTGACATTGGCGTGAAGAGCATGATTTTTGGCCTTGAGAGCGTCCGACCATTCTGGGTAGAGGAGGGCCTCTTTGACAGAGGCTGGTTCGAGTGATGGCGGAGAACAGGTGATGGTCATCGAAGAAGATGCAGGGCAGCTAGCAGTTGTGTAAAACAAACTTTTTGGCTTAAAAGTTCCATGTTGGGCCCGAGTTTCTTGGAGCGAGTCCGTTGGGGAGGAGGGGGGAGGACGGGCTGTTGAGGAGGCCCCGAAGGCGTTGTGGGGGGCTGAGTATAAGGCCCAATGTCCAAGGAGGATCTAGAAGTTTCGACGAAGAAGCTTCAGTAGAAGGAGGCATTGTCGAAGGGGAGTTGGACACAGAGGAGGCTGTGGTGATTTGTAACGAGTTGGGTCGGGCATCCTACAAAGTAGTGATAGTTGGACTGGAGTCCAACAGCTAGGCCACAGGTGTGGGTGGGGCGGCAGAAGCAGAAGCGATATAACCTGGAAAAACATCTTCCATAAATTGAACGTGGCGAGACAAAAAGAGACGATTGGTGAGGGGATCAAAACAGTGATAGGCACTCCTTATTGGTGGAGTAAGGACGAAGCCAAGGATAACATAAACACCCAAAAATACGGAGTTTGTGATAATTCGGAGTTTGATTAAAAAGAAGAGTGTAAGGGATTTGACCGCGAAGAGTCGATGAGGGCATAAGATTAATGAGATAAATGGCCATCGAAAAATCAAAGGACCAAAATAGAGAGGGAAGATTGGCATGATAAAGAAGAGTGATACCAGTTTTGACGAGATGAAGATGCTTGCGTTCGGCTAAACCATTGTGCTCCGGAGTGTGAGGAGGAGTAAGCAAATGAATGATGTCGTGGGCTGGTAATGTGGAACAAAGCTTGTGAAATTCGCCACCACCATCGGTGTAACGAAGAATGGTGGTAGAAAAATAATTTTCAAACGTGGCACGGAAATCAAGAAAAACTTGAAGAACGTCAAATTTGTAACGGATAGGATAATACCACGCGTAACGAGTGAAATGGTGAACAATGATGAGATAATAATGAAAGCCATCAATAGATGAAACAGGGGCAGGACCCCAAACATCAGTATACATAAGATCAAAGCGTCAAGTACTAGCAAGAGACGAAACACCAAAAGGAAGTTTGTGATATTTCTTAGAAAGACAAGCATCCCAATGACTAATGGTAGATGATGAGGGAACTAGAAGTGAATGAGAATAAAGTAAACTGCGGAGAGACTGGTGAGACGGATGACCAAGTAGGAACTGCCATGATTTTGCGGAAGTGCAAGTGGTTACTAGTGCCATGCGAATTGGTTCTACTTCCGGTGGTAACTCATACACATCACCTCTGTTTTCCCCTTTCAACAACTGCGCCCCCGTACGAAGATCCTTGACAACAAAATGAGTGGCAAAAAATATCAAGGACACTGGATTAGTACGACATAATTGAGCCATAGAGATACGATGTTTTTTTATGGCGGGAACATGTAAGACATCTTGCAAAGACAGACAGTGCGAGCCAGTAAAAAGATGAGTAGTGCCAATATGAATGATTCACAAACCTAAGCCATTACCAATAATGATTTCAACGGGGCCTGATAGTTGGAATAAAGGGCTAAATTTCCAAGATCACCAGTGACGTGATGAGAGGCTGCAACATTGGTGAAGTGGGCTTGGGCTTGACGGGTTTGAAGATGCGCTTGACGGGCTTGGGGAAAAAGTTGAAAACACTGGCGCACAGAAGAGGCTGGGCTTGAAAAATACTATTGCGAGGGCCAGAGGCCCACTAGAGAAGACCAGGAGGCCCGCGTTGTGAGGAGATTTCATTGTAGGGCTGCTGCTGGTGAGGATTGCACTGTGGGCGAGGATGAGACTGGCCGTCGTGTCTTTGTCCTTGAGTGTAGAAAGCAGTCAGAATAGTGGTGTGGTGCTGTGCTTTCAGATCAGCTTCGTATTCCACCAACGAGTCAACCAGATCTTCCAAAGTGAGACTAGGCCCTCGTGCACGAACAACGGCCGAATAGGACTTGTAATCATCTCCCACCCCTCTGAGATAGTGCACAACAAGATCAATGTCTTTCACTAGCTCCCCAATGAGGGCGAGTTCTGCAGCAACAGCCTTGAGATCGTTGACGAAGGTGAGGATATCTCGATCTCATTTGGTTGTTTTCCTAAGCTTTCCCTTCAGATGGATTATGCGCGACTGTCCATTGCTAGCATTAAGCTTCTCTAGAATCAACCAAGCATCACGTGCGGTCGCATCGACGAAGACAAATGAGTAAATTGATTCATCAATCGAGTATCATAAAGCATGAAGAATAAGTTTGTCTTCCCTGAACCAATTATGATAGGCAAGATTGGGAGCAGGAGCAGCGTCCACTGTGATCGATTGCGGAGGAGCGACTTTGGTGTCGTTAATGAAACAAAGTAGATCAAGTCCCATGAGGAGAGTTTCAAGCTGAGATCTCCAGGATGCAAAGTTCGTTAGTGTGAGCCTCGGGGGAAGTTGAGCAGCCGGATTGAAGGTGATAATTGAGGTCTCTCAATTGTTGGAGCCATTGTTGGAAGCAGCAGCGGTAGAGTCTCCTGTCATGATGACGATACAACAAGGAGGAACATAAAATAAGAAAGAAATCGAGAGTTTTAAAGATGGAATGGGTCGATTCTAGATGATCGTTGCTATCTCTGATACCATAAAAAGAATATAGAAATTTGTGATCATGGAAATCTTGCTTGATTCTCATTGATGAGTCTATTAACTAATATACAGATTTTGGAGAGACAAATAAGGTGCACTTAGCAACAGATTGCTAGACACTTCCCACGACATAGGAACAGAAAAGTAGTATGTATACGGTACTATGCGAGTATGTAACACTATGATTGAAAGTTGCAATTTATAAAATTAAGGAATTAAGTTTTCGTATTCTACCCATGAACCCTCCACGAGATGGAGTTCCCTAATTCTCAATGTCAAGTAATTGTTGGCTTTGTGATGATAATGAGAATGACCAAAACACATCAACCAGGGACGGAGCCAGCATTTGAAAATAGGGGGGGCAAAAAATACAAGATAATAAAAAAAATTAAAATAAAATATTAATTGAAATCACTCAAAATAGCGTCTAAACTAAAAGTTTCTGCAATCTCTCGCTCAATAAAGATAACTAAGTTATCAGCTAGAAAATCATCATTCATCTGGTTCCGCAACCTATTCTTCACTATCTTCATATCTGGAAATGAACGTTCTCCTATGGCAGTTGAAACGGGAAGAGTCAAAATAAGACGAATCAACCTATCAACAAGATTAAAATCATTTGACTTTCCCGTCACTGCTAAACCATGACACAACTCAGCAAGTGATGACAGATTTTGGAGTTCAGGATGAGTAGGAGCATCAACTTGAAAATGCTTCAATTCAAACTTCAAGTCATCTAAGTCCTTTTCTAAAAAATCAAGAGGGTAGTACTTCTCAGCAAGATCACAAATAGCACCAATGTTGAAATCTTTATAACCATCTCGAGGATCCAAACTCGAGCTAAGCTTCAAAAGTTCAAGTACTTTGTCATCAAACCTTGCTCGTATTTCTTATATCTGCACATCAATAGCAGCATTGAACACATCAAAATGATAAAATTAATCATTTGTGATGCCATCTCGTCGTCGTCGACTTTCGTAATGTGGAGCACTAAGATCGGGAACATTGATACCATGTTTTTCACAAAACAACTTGACTTTTGCTAACAAAGAATCACAATCTTCATTCCTCATTTGGTTCAACAACTTTGTAGTAGTCTCCACCGCCCTCATTGCATTTACAATGTCTTGAGATTTACGTTGCAAAGCTTTGCAAAGCAAATCTGTGGTGCTTAGTATCTCCTTCATCATATGCAAAATGAATATGAACTCGAATGATTCCATAGTTCTCAAAGCTGTACTAGCATCCCCCCTTGTTTTGTAGTGAGCACAATCATTGCTTATGTTCTCCAAAACACGACAAATTGGACCATACAAATGGATAAGGCTAGCTACAGAACTCAAATGTGAACTCCATCGTGTATCACAAGCTCGTTGTACATTCCGAATCTGATTTGCACCTTTTCCTGTCTCGATTTCACCTGATTCTAGCTTTTGAGCATAATCATCTCCTTGAAACTCTTCTAACTCATCAAGGCGCTTTGTGGAACCAGTAATAGCAGTCACAACTCTTGGTAACTTTGTGAAAAACTCATTTACCCTATCGACTTCTCTAGATGCTGCAACCAAAGATAGTTGAAGACGATGAGCCATACAATGCACATAATACGCCTGAGTAAAATCCTTCAAAAAGAGTACTTGCAATCCTTTCCATTCACCACGCATGTTACTAGCACCGTCATATCCTTGTCCACGAAGATTATGAAGGGAAAACTTAAAGGAAGCAAGAGTTGAGCTAATAGCAGAGTGCAAAGTTTTTGATGTCGTGTCTTTGACATGAACTAGATTGAGGAACCGCTCTTGAATAAATCCTTTAGCATCAACAAAGCGAAGAATGATGGCCATTTGTTCGTGCCTACTTTCATCACTTGCCTCATCTACAATGATTGAGTATTTAGAATCTCCAATGTCTTCAAAAATTTGCTTCCTGATCTTCTTAGCTAAAACATGCAAGATTTGCTTCTGAACCTCATGAGATGTGTATTTTGCAGTCTTCGGAGCATTCTCCAACACCACACTATTTACTTCTTCATTATAAAAACGTGTGTATTTGAGCAACTGAATAAAGTTACCAGGGTTCTTTGTATCATCAATCTCATCCCGACCTCTAAAAGCAACCCCTTGCAATGCTAGATAACGAACAACATCTATTGAGGTCTTCACTCGAGTTATATTCTTCTTTACCTCTTGAGAAGTGTGTTTCTTCATAACTTTGTCAATGTGCCCAGGTTGATGCATCAAAGCATGACAGTTCCTCACAGCATTGTTGTGATGAGAATTTGGACTTTCTCCAATATGCTTCGTGAAAGAACAATCTACCCCACTTTTTACCTTTTTCCAATTCTGGAAGCCTTCATTTGCAAATGTGTCCCGACCAAATTGAGTATTTGGCTTTTCAGTAAAAAGATAACATGGAAGACAATATGCAGCATCCTTCGCTTCTGAATATTCAAGCCAAGAGAATTCAGAGTACCATGAACTTTGAAAAGGTCGAAGATGTCCGGGATGCCCGGATTTAGGAAACTTAGCAAGTACAACTTGATGAGGGCCAGCACTCCAATAATCCCTTCTTATCTCATCGCGCCTATTAGCTGGATATGTCCATATTGGTTTACGCAATCCAGGATTGCGTTCTAGAAAATCTGAAAGAGAATCAGAAAGAGAATCCTCAACCACATTCTGTTTCCCCATAACAAGAGGAGACTCCTCAAATCTTGAGTTGAAAGCATCATTTGTGTCTTCTTCTAAACTGGTATCTGTTTTTGGTAACACATTCCTTGGAAAAAATGTTGTAACCCTTTTCTGTTTACTCTTGATCTTTCAGAATGGGAAAATTTGTAAACATCCAGAAGACCAGAACAACCCAATTAGCTATCCACATCAAGCACTCCAATCCACATTAAGCAAAACGACAAAACCCATTAAGTAACCCTATCCAGTCATCTAGCTCTGTTCTTGCTAATTTTGAATGTTAAAATATAAAATGAAAACAAATACAATGATTTAAATACCTGAGTTTCTTTGACGTTTGCCAATCGGAATCAGCGGCAGCAGCCGAGCAGCGACAACCAACACTGACTAGTTTGTAGGTTTTGTTGCCGCCCGCAATAACCCAGAGGAAGACAAAGAAAGAAGCAGGGACGGAGTCTGAGTTACGATTGAAGGAGGAATAGAGAAGGGGTCGTTTGTCTATAGGGTGGGATTGGCATTGGGATTTTTCTTTTTGCAGCAGAATCGCCGCCTGCAGAGAAAAGGTAGAAAGGAAGGTTTAATTTTTGGGATTGGAATTTGGAAGGGAGGTACTTTTTGTCTGCGAGTGAGGTTGAGGATTTGGGATCCATAAAGAATAAAGGAATTTTTGTCTCCTTATCAGAGTTTTGACAAAAAAAAAATGAAAGGATATTAAATGGGAAGGGGTTTCTCACGTGCTGGAGGCTCTATAAGAAACATTGTCAAATTGGCATAAAAAAAATCCATGGATCAAACCCTAGACCACATCATTGTAATTATTTTCGAAATACATCAACTCCACTAGACTACAGCTATTTGTTTGTCCAATAATTACTCTGGCAGGGTATAATCGATAAATTCCCAAAAGTTTAGGGGGTGCCATGGCCCCCCTTCCCCAACGTTGGCCCCGCCCCTAACATCAACCCCATTATTTATTCAGAGCTCTGAGCCATGTCTCCAGCTTCACATAAATATACTTCTATATGGCATTGCTACAATGACTAGTGTCTCTATCATGACGTATTTGCAGAGACGACAAATAATGCAGTGCACAAATAAATAAGGAATACAATTGGCAAAATAAGATTAGAAATATATATACTTTGAAAACCGCAATGCATGGGTTATAAAAAATAAGAAAATATTAGTGGCTTTCTTAATTGAAGTCCTCAATTGACTTTTGTTGGGAGATTCTTTGTTTAGATTGTATTTTCGGTGTTTTATTATTACGCAACAGGTTGCTGACAATATGTTCAAATGTGTATGTATCAATGTATGACGGTATGAGAGATTAACTGACAATATATAATTGCACTACATTATGATTTGTTGTAACCATAATTGTTTTTGCCCTATTATGATATTAATATAAGGGTTAGTATATTTGTGTGCCCTGACTTTTCTCAATAACTTTTTGACCAATTTTTGATATAAATTATATCGTGGCCTTAACTAATGACCCTAAACTTTATTAAATTGGCCAAATCCAAGAGTTTTATGTTATATTGGACGGTCAAAATCATTGACTAACGGTCAACCCGCTAAATCACTGCCACATCAGCATAAACAAATTTAAAAAATCAAAAAAATCCACATAATCTCCATTTCATATTTTTCCTAATTTTAACTAATTAATATCACGCATTATAAAAAAAATCTTACTGGAGAGTTGCCGCATGTTCGAGGAGGTGTCATCTTTCAGGAGATTACTAACTTTTACTCTCTGTTTTTTGTTAATTCTAGTTGCTATTTGTAAGTCGTGTTAGAAACAAGATTGCTTAATTGGTAATACGGAAAGTCATTTTATTAGGACATTTGTGGGCTTTGATCTAAAGAATACAATAAATACTTTCTCCATTTATGCTTCACCATTTCAAAATTCAAGCCTTCTTACACATTCATGTTAGCAGCCACTCCACCAATCAGATTTTTTCATAAATTATTTTTCTTTTCATGTCAATTTATTATTTTTCCTTCCTAGATCTAACAGCCTAAATTAAACAAAAATTTATTTTTTATTTAATTTTTCTTTTACAATTTTTAGTAATCCAATTAGAATGTGCCACCTAGCACACTATCTTCCCTCTTTTTCAACCCCTATACTATTCTTAATTGATATGTATTTATTTTGTTTGAACTCTGAATTTATATATTTTTGCGTCAAAAAATCAGATTTTATGTGACCCAAATAACGATATCCATTTTGATATATGTTGATTTTTTTTCAAAACCATGGTCACAATCATATATTCATGCGTCATGCTCCTATTGGAAAAATACTAAACTATATCAATATAATTTGATTTACCTCTATGAGGTACTCATGTACTACCAAAGTTCAACGAACAAGTTTCTTATTCTACTAAGTTATTAAATTATATCAATATTTAGTTTTGTACTCCCATAATAGTAATGCACAACAATTTCATGTGCTAAAACATTGTCGTGATGTACAAACTAATTTATCTTAAAGAAAAATCACTTTCTGGCCAACTGACCGGGCTGAAGGCTAGTTTTATTTCATGGTTATGATTACTTTGAGGTTTGAAACGTTTGTCTCTATATTTTCTCGGTAATACGAGTGATCTAATTAGAAAATAATTGCATTTGAGGCCAATATAAGTTAAAGAAAGGGTTTCAAGCCCTGACATCTTTTTGAAGTGAAAAAAGTTCACCCATTTCCGCCCTCTAGCACATGTTTCTCATGAGGAGTAATCATTAATATCTAATAGAGACCTCATTAGGGTTTCGAGGCTCTATCGCATAAACTCTCGACATAGAAGGTTGGGTACTACAAGACGTACTCCCCACTTTGAATATAGACTCTAGGGGTCGTTTGGATGGATTGATCGATGTCGTGATCCAGCTTTAAATTAATAAGTCGATACACACTCACTAGTCAATCCTAACTAAGCCAATTATAACTAAGCTAAGGATGTAGTAAAGTGCCTCCATCGTATTCCAAGGGAACCCGAAGTTTCCTATTACTTCGCTCCGAACTACTATCTAATCAAATCATAGGGTTTGGTGAATTATCTAAGCTAACCTAACTAAGAACAAAACAACCAACCAACCAAGTGGTTGGGAGACCTCTAGAGATACGATGGTTCCCTAGGATTGACTTCCCCTAGCTATAGTTGATATGTTGGGTTTATAAGATATGGTGTGTGAGCTCTTTTCCATGGGCTTTCGTGTTTATCCCACGCCTCCGAGTACACCCTACTTAGACCCATTGTCACCTTAGTCAAGGCTCAGGTATTTGGTGCATTAAGTATATAGCTCATTTCAATAGGTACTACCTATCGTGCATGCTGAAGAGTCAGATCTGTCCGCGTGTGAACCTCTAAGGCTTCGTCCTAGGAAGGCGTTCTTTTAGAAGGGGTTCGATCGCCTCGTCCACTACAAGACCCTAAAATCATTCATCTATCTTTAATCTGCCAGTTGGCACTACCCGTCTAACTCTAAAACTCCTACCCAATGTGGTGGCTCATCATAGGCTAGTAGAGAAGGTTAGGCGATTACCCAAGCATAATTAAGCATACATGAGCAATAAAATCACTAGACAACACATCCATTCATAAACCCATTCATACACAAACTATAATATAGGGTTCATCTTTCCTAAACAACCATTAGAGATTTAAGTCATAGAGAGAGGAAAAAAACTCAGACTAGAGAAGAGGGAGTGATGGAATCAATCTTCTCCTTGCTTGCACCTTCTTCTTGCTCCATGGGTGGATTGGATCTTCAATTATGCTCTCCCAAGGTGTTTCTCTCACTAGAAGCATATAAAACGCCTAATTTTCTCCCTCTAGGTTGCCTCTCCTCTCTTCCTCAAGCAACACTTCTATTTATAGGCGTTGTAAATCTCAGGCAAGATCGCGGCCTATAGGCGAAAGATCAAGGACGCAAAATTTTGCCTTGCGGCCATGATCGCGGTTGCAACCAACTTGGCCCATAAGATGGATAGCAAAACTTTATGTTCTTTAGGCGACACATCCTCCTTAAGTTCACGGCCGGGAACTCTAGCCTTGTCCCGCAATCTTCAAGCGACTTTGTGGCCTAATTTTCTCGGTCTGGAACTTGTGCTCTTCAACTACGATCTTGGTGATTTCTGAATTTACTCCATTTTCCTACACATTTGCCCATTTCCCCTTTTTTGCTTGTAACACCATAGGTATCCTAAAGCAATCTAAGTTCAAAATGCTACTAAAACTCTAATAAATGAGGGTTAAATAACACTATTTTGGGTGTTATCAACTTCCCCCACCCTTAGGCGTTTGCTTATCCCCAAGCAAACCTACTCAAATCAGTGCAACTTGATACAAAGATTAATGTGGTTTGCAATATAGTTCTTCACTGCATGGAATATAGTAGACAGAGAAAAATGAACGTTACTCTCCTCTTACTATGAAACCACAAACTCCCTAATGAGGACCACATCGACTACATAGGGTTGGACATTCAAGCTGTGCACTGGGGGATCTCTCAAAAACAATAAAATTAAT